GGTCTGGGCAGGGGGGGCACTGATTGGTGGGCCTGATGGATAGAGCTTCATCAGAGCTAAACAACAAAAGAAATCTGAAGCTATGTTGAACAGTTTCTGAGTTATAAGCAATTTTTCATGTCCTGACATCCCCACTTTGAAAGGAGCCCCCTCCTCAAATAAGGGGTGTATCGTAAAACCGTTGGCTGGTGCAGTGTAGGTCAGACTCATCTACAGTCTTGCCAAGTTTCATGTTGACCGGTGCAGCTGTTTCTGTGCTACGGTTGACCAAAAATCTCCGGAGGGGGAAAAAAATTAACAGTAAGAAAACAATATTGACTGCTGCTTACGCTTCACGTGCGGGGGTCATAATAAAGGGGATGTTATAAACAATACGTCAAGTACAAATTAGTAATTTAGACAAAAAAAAATTCTAAGTTGGCATAAGTTGCCTAAAATGTTAGTGTGACAGGGCCTTAAGCGTGCACATAGTCCTAGTCATAAAACAATTTCAGATACCGGTAACTGGAATGTAAGTGTGGTGAAGCCAAATAAATGTAATATTATTATTATCTCCAGTTATCTCCTTCCAGTGGGACATGTCAGGAACACCTCACCAGGGAGGCGTCCAGGAGGCATCCTAACAAGATGAACCACCTCAACTGGCTCCTCTCAATGTGGAGGAGCAGCGGCTCTACTCTGAGTCCCTCCTGGATGACTGAGCTTCTCACCCTATCTCTAAGGGAGAGCCCAGACACCCTGCGGAGGAAACTCATTTCATTCGCTTGTATCCACGATCGTTCTTTTGGTCACTACCCAAAGTTTCTGACCATAGGTGAGGGTGGGGATGTAGGCTGATCGGTAAACGCTTTGCCTTACAGCTCAGCTCCCACTTCACCACAGATGCAGTACCAAGCCGCCTGTTGATCTCCCGCTTTATTCTTCCCTCATTCGAGAACAAGACCTTGAGATACTTAAACTCCTCCACTAGGGGCAGGACCTCCTCCCCGGCCTGGAGGAGGCACCCTACCCTTTTTTGGCTCAAGACTAAGGTCTCGGATTTGTAGGCACTGATTCTCATCCCAGCCGCTTCACACTCGGCTGTGAACCGCTCCAGTGAGAGCCGGAGATCAGGATCTGATGAAGCCAAATGGACCACATTATCCACAAAAAGCAGAGGCATGATCCTAAGGTCACCAAAAAGGATCCCCTCAACACCTCGGCTGCTCCTAGAAATTCTGTCCATAAATGTTATGAACTGACAAAGGACAACCTTGGCTTGGTTTAAGTCTTATTTAATTGATAGATTCCAGTTTGTTAATGTTAATGAATATTCTTCTTACACTAGAGCTAATCATGGAGTTCCTCAGGGTTCAGTGCTTGAAACAATCCACTTTACTTTGTATACGCTTCCATAAGGCAAATTTATTAAACAGCATGGATACATTTCCATTGTTATGCTGATGATTCTCAGTTATATTTATCCATGAAACCTGATGAATCTAATCAGTTACTTAAACTACAACCATGCCTTAAGGCTCCTTCAAACTCCCTCCAAAGCCAAACAGTCGATGCACAGTCACGTTTTCGCACACACCTTCATAGTCCCTGAGACACCCTGTGCCGAGCTCATGGGAAAYCCCTCCTGCTGCAGCATACATCACTACAGGGGGGGTTTCCTCCAGCTGGAATCTACAATGTGGAAACAAAAGTCTGAGACATGTCATCTGATGTTATTTATCCACAAATGTCTCTAAAACAAACCTCTAATGTTTTTATTAGTTAGATTCCACCRTGCAAAATGCCTGTTTTATCTCCATCCATGAGGTTTTGGCTGTTTGACTATTTTTATGAATTGCTGCTTTCTGGTAAAACAGTCGGATCTGGAAGGAAGTTGCTTTATTTATTTATTTTTTTGGGATGCGAGTGGTTGAAGCAAAACGCAGTGTCTGAGCGCTTTCAGCACAAACACTCCCACGAACTTCTGACCAATCACACAATAAGTTCTTATGTGCAGGGAGATAAAATGTTCTGCTGGCAGGTTGTGTCAAGAAGCTGTAGCGAGTATGCAGGAGACTTAAAAGACATAGAAACTTGGATGACTCTTAATTTTCTGCTTCTAAACTCAGATAAGACAGGTTATGGTTTTTGGACCTGAACATCTTAGGAATAAACTTTGTAGCCTTTCACCTTCTCTGGATGGCATTAATCTGGCCTCCAGTTCTAATGTAAAGAATTGATGTTATTTTTGATCAGGATATGAACCYCCACATTAAAAATGTAAGAAGGACCGCCTTCTTCCACCTGCGTAATATCACTAAATTTAGAAACATTTTGTCCAAAAATGATGCAGATAAACTGATTCATGCAATTATCACATCTAGACTGGATTACTGTAATTCGTTATCATCTGGGTCCAAAAAACTCTTTAAGAAGTCTTCAGTTAATCCAAAATGCTGCTGCTAGAGTTTTAATGAGAGCTGGAAGGAGAGATCATATTTCTCCAGTTTTAGCTTCTCTCCACTGGCTCCCTGTCAAATTTAGAATAGAATTTAAAATATTACTCCTAACATACAAAGCTCTCAACAACCAAGCTCCATCATGTATTAAACATCTTATTGTTCCATACTTTCCTAACAGAGCACTTCACTCTCAGACTGCAGGTTTACTTGTGGTTCCTCCAGTTTCTAAAAGTAGAATGGGAGGCAGAGCTTTCAGTTATCAAGCTCCTCTCTTGTGGAACCAACTTCCAGTTTCTGTCYGWGAGGCTGACACTCTGTCTACTTTTAAGATTAGACTGAAGACTTTCCTTTTTGATGAATCCTATAATTAAATTTCTGCTGCTACAGACTTAGACTGCTGGAGGACAAACTGAGCACGTCCTCACTCTGCTGCTGTCTTTAGTCTATCTCCTCTATATGTTTATTGTAGGGCTACGTGGTATATGCGGTAGACGGTAGAAACGGTATGAAGTTGGCCTACGGTAGAAATTTACCCTCTACCGTCCTGTCGTCATTACGTCATCACACCTGTGTCAGCAGAGCTGCGAGTGCAGAGACAACTGAGCAGGAGGAGTTTGAAATATAATGAAGAAATTATAGTGTTTTAAAACACATAGAGAGAATAAATCCTTAGAATTCCCCCCTGCCGCTGTAGAAAAGTTACGTCGTACTGCACAGAGCGAAGCTTTAACAACCGTAGTTTTTTCACACCTAAGTTGTTGGAGAAAAAACTTGTTTTTTATGTACTGTTACCCACAGAGATGATAAAAAGATGTGGATGTTCGTTCAGTCCTAAATCCATTTTGCTAATGTAGCCTAAAGTCGGCTTCAGCAGAGCAGCAGCTGATAAGTTCAGCAGGCAGAAGCTCATTGTACGGCAGGTAGATATTACATTTATTTGGCTTCACCACACTTACATTCCAGTTATCTGAAATTGTTTTATGACAGGACTATGTGCAGCTTAAGCCCCTTCAGGTCCTGTCACACTATAACATTTTAGGCAAAATTWAATTTTTTATGTCTAAATGACTAATTTTACTTGAAGTACTGGTTATAACATCCACTTAATTTTGATATTGTTGAAAATTTGAGAAATGTTTTTATTTGTTGTTGAAACCGTTTTACAATATGCTGTATATAAAACATTCTTCTATACTTCTGTTATGTTCATTTGCACTACAGCAAAAATACTGGGTTTGATTATGATGATGGTTTTCTGAAAAAAAAATGTTGTAAAAATTACACTTTCTTTGCTTTTTATGATAATTTTCTACTGTGATATATACTGTTACTGTGAAGGGGTTCAATTTATACCATGATATGAATTTGAGGTCATACCGCCCAGCCCTAATTTATTATAATTATTTCTATCAATAWCGTGTTTTCTTTGTCTCTCTTCCAGAGGAAAATACACCAGGACCAGTCCTGTGTTCGTCTGTGTCTCTTTCCTGTCCCTACAAACCCAGCTGGTTGAGGCAGATGGCCGCCTGTCCTGAGCCTGGTTCTGATTCTGCTGAAGGTTTCTTCCTGTTATAAAGGAGTTTTTCCTCTCCACCGTTTGCTCAGGATGGAAGACTGTGATGAAGTAAAGATTCAACACAATCTGCTGGCTTCTTCTTTAGATTTATTTTTTATTTATTTTTTGTGTGTACTGTGCCCTGAGACAATTGTTGTGATTTGGCACTATTTAAATAAACTGAACTGAATTAAATATAACAAATCTTTTGTTTTGGGGTGAAAAATATATTTTGCTGTGATTTTCAACACTTAGGCCCATACAGTTGACATGTTGTCATGTCACAGATCTATGGTTTTATCCCTCTTGAAAAGTTGACTTGTGACCTTAAAACACAAATTGGACTCCTTTTGGAGGACGTAGGAACCACTACATTGTTTCCTGTAGAAGTCATGAATCATCCACTGTCACTGGAGATAGGGGTTAACTGTCATTATTATTATTATTATTATTATTTTATTATTTATTGTCATTCATTTATTTCATTTCTGCAATTCTATCTACTGTTGTCTTTTAATTTAACTAGTCAATTTTTATATAATTGCATCTATAGCAGCGATCACTGTTTAGTTTGAAGTGGGATTTTATTTGTTCTTAATGTTGTTTTATTTTTCACTTGGTATTGTTAGTAAAAGTAAAATAATTTTAAAGTCAATGTACATGGAGGCTTCTGCTTTATTTAAAAAAGCTACAAGTCACAATTAAATGTTCAATTAATTGGCCTTACTGTTATATTCACTAATGTTTTGCTTTAGTAATTTATTTAGCATGTTTTGAGGCCTTGAACATAATTTTATTTTTTTGATTAAAAGAGCATAAATTCCTCCATTGACTGAAAAAATGGCAGACCTCGGGTCTAAAGCATACATCACCATGTTCAGGCAGGCCATTTCATCAACACATAGCCTCCCTTATTCCAGATCCTCATTCTAAAACTTGGTGATCTGTCATTAAGCTGCTTCGTTCTACACTACACGGTCTTTTTGCTGCCACTGTTTGATAAGATGCTAATAGTTCAATTATGACAGTTTAGTCTTTAGGATCAGACAACTTACCTCCACCATAGATCCACACCATGACACTTAGATTGTGAGGTCTGGGAGAAGAAGGCACCCAGACATTAAGATACAGGCAGTCCTCACTCATCTCTCTGTTTGGATTCCACATCTCGCTGCCCTGGAAGCCAGGGAATGAGGTGTCCACATACTGGTAACAGGCATTTGGGTAGGCGTTGGCCTCTAACAAGTCTGACCATGGACGCTTGGGTTCAGGAGGACGAAAACGTCGCTTTCCAACAGGTGGCTCACCAAAAGGGATGCCCAGGAAGGCAGTAATGTAGCTGTGGCCCGGGACTGGAAGGCGAATGCCTCGGACGTGACCGTTACGTGTACGAACAATGTCTGCATCATTCTGAGAGAAGCAGCGGGGAACGAGAGAAAGAATGAAAATGGAGGAGAAGAAGAAGAAAAGAGTGCAGGGCTGCATGATGGAGGCTGTGTGGCTGGAGCTGCGGTTGTGATTCCCTCTCTTTCAAAGCAAAGGCAGGGTCTGCTCTACTTCATCTCAGATCTGCAGAGGACAGAGACAGAGAGCGTAATCAGATTATAAATTGATGGAGAGGACAATCACAGAAGGAAAGTAACACACAGGAGGCTGTCAGTCTGGGAGTGTCATCAGATTTTAACTAACAATCCTAACCCACATGATAACTGCCCACATGTTGACTGCTAACAGAGGCTTAGTTTTCCTTCACAAGGATGTTTATCAAAATGTTCAGTTTCTTCAGGACAACTTTTGTTTTGATTTTAGGCTCATTTTGGCTTTTGCTAATGGCATTTAGCTTTTGACTAATTTTAGTCTTTTAAACCTGAATATTGTGATTTTGACCTTATCAGGGTCTCAAAAGTAGGTCTAGCAAGTTGGCTCAACAGCACTGCCTACGCTAGCAGCTTGACCAAGCTTGACCTTGAAAGCTAAAGTTTTGGTACTCATGTTGAACACACATTTGTGTGTCTCTTGGATGGCTAACTTAAAGCTAACAGATAGTTTGGTCATTTCTAATATATTAATAGGTCAGTATACTATTAAGGAATAGGGGATTAAAGGTATCCCAAGTTAAGCTTAATACGGTATTGGAATGGCTAAACCTTAAACATTGACTTCTTATCACAAAAACACAAAATTGCTATAACAGAAAGGTAAAACATCTGATCTTCATGAAAATGTGTGTTCGATCACAGTGCGGTCCTCAACACGTTTGTATGCTGCCATTGCCTTAGCCTCCACTGCCTTAAAAAATAAACAGGAAAAAATATATTTTCAATTGAAGTCATGATTTTGAAGCTTTTTGAACAATTGGAACCTTTATATTTGAACAAACCGCTTCTATAGATTTTGAAGAATCAATTTCAAATTTGGCCAATACAATAATAAGACATAGAGGATAACTCCACCCCCATGTTTCAAGATAATATTAAGATAAGGGAGATGAATTTATCTAGAGCTTCCTCACTATATTTCAAACTTGGATTTTTTTGCTATGAAACACAAATTTACGACAAAATTGTTATAACTAAGGACAATAATGTCTGTCTGGCACTTCAAGTGCAAATGCTTGCTACTGTATATATACAGGGATTAGAAAATGAAACTGAAACACCTGTCATTTTAATGTGGGAGGTTTCATATCTAAATTGGACCAGACTGGTGGCCAATCTTCATTACTTGCACATTGCACCAGTAAGAGCAGAGTGTAAAGGTTCAATTTGCAGGGTAAGAGCACGGTTTGGCTCAAAATATTGCAATGCACACAGCATTACGAGTGACAAACCAGAGTTCAAAAGAGGATAAATTGTTGGTGCACGTCTTGCTGGTGCATCTGTGACCAAGACAGCAAGTCTTTGTGATGCATCAAGAGCCATGGTATCCAGGGTAATGTCAGCATACCACCAAGAAGGACCAACCACATCCAACAGAATTAAATGTGGACGCAAGAGGAAGCTGTCTGAAAGGGATCTTCAGGTGCTAACCTGGATTGTATCCACAAAAAAAAAAATACATAAAACCACAGCTGCCCAAATCATGGCAGAATTAAATGTGCACCTCAACTCTCCTGTTTCCACCAGAACTGTCCGTCAGGAACTCCACAGGGTCAATATGCACGGCCGGGCTATTATAGCCAAACCTTTGGTCACTCGTACCAATGCCAAACGTTAGTTTCAATGGTGCAAGGAGCGCAAATCTTGGGCTGTGGACAATGTGAAACCTGTATTGTTCTCTGATGAGTCCACCTTTACTGTTTTCCCCACATCCGGGAGAGTTACTATGTGGAGAAGCCCCAAAGAAGCGTACCACCCAGACTGTTGCATGCCCATAGTGAAGCATGGGGATGGATCAGTGATGGGTTGGGCTGCATTATCATTCCCTTGGCCCAATACTTGTGCTAGATGGGCATGTCACTGCCAAGGGCTACCGAACCATTCTGGAGGACCATGTGCATCCAATGGTTCAAACATTGTATCCCAAAGAGGGTGCCATGTATCAGGATGACAATGCACCAATACACACAGCAAGACTGGTGAAAGATTAGTTTGATGAAAATGAAAGTGAAGTTGAACATCTCCCATGGCCTGCACAGTCACCAGATCTAAATATTATTGAGCCACTTTGGGGTGTTTTGGAGGAGCGAGTCAGGAAACGTTTTCTTCCACCAGCATCACGAAGTGACCTGGCCACTATCCTGCAAGAAGAATGGCTTAAAATCCCTCTGACCACTGTGCAGGACTTATATACGTCATTCCCAAGATGAACTGATGCTGTACCGGCTGCAAAAGGAGGCCCTACACCATACTAATAAATCATTGTGGTCTAAAAACAGGTGTTTCAGTTTCATTGTCCAACCCCTGTACATGTACCTAAATATATGTATGTGTGTGTGTGAGGACTCCTCTTCTCTGTTTGCAGCTTTAGTGTTCAATTTTTTTTCACTTTACAAGTTCAGTTTAATCTTCAACAAGTTGCAGCAAAGCCACAACATTCACTACTCTTACATACAAGATGCTGTTTTTCTCATTCTTTTAAAGGCATAGTTAGAAAAAAGTTATATCTGTTCTTTTCCCCTTGTTTGAGTCTAGTCCTTGTACATGACACTTTTCAACGATTGTTTGCTCACCTAAAACTGATAAAAATAACAGTTATAGCGTGATGCTTTTATTTATTGATTTTATAAAAAAGGAATCAAGGTAAAAAAACAATTGTCATGAGTCTGAATGACAGAAAAATAAGTGTGAGATACATTATTGAATAAACACTGATGGCCTATCCTCCGATAAATGCAGCTCATATTTACAGCTGCTTCCTTTCCCTTACATCACTTCACAACTGATCCTATTACCCTGACAACCATACATTACTAAACATAAACAGCAGGCCAACAGGTGCAAGACAACTGTCTCCAAGCATTGTTCCACATTTAGCAAACAGCTACAAGGACAGATCTTTTAATAACTTCACTCACACTTCAGTATGTTGGGAATCATTTCAGAAGAATAAAACCACCAGAAATAACTTTTAAATATTTTATTTATTAATACTAAAAACATGGAGCCTTTTATGGTCTGTTTAGTTAGGTAGTAGGAAAACAAAATATACCAATTAAATTTTCATTCCTCTCAAATTATTGTGTAACACAAGCTGAGCCATCAAACACTAGAGTTGTACCAAATAATGGGTTAATCAGTGGAATCTGTCCAGTTTCACCTTGACTAGCTTGGCTAATAACCCATTGAAAAATCAAAGGATTTATACTAGTTTGTGACCGGTTCGATCCCCTGTCCAGCTGTCTCAGTTTTTGTGTCCTTGGGCAAGACACTTCACCCCTAATGCCTCTGATGTGTGTCCCATCAGTGTATGAATGTGATTGGYACTGATTAGTCTCCATAAATGATTGTACATGTTAGCTTTGTAGAGACCTAATAGAGTGCTGTTTGAATGGGTAAATGAGGACACAGATTGTAGTKTGAAGAGCTTTGAGTGTCAGTTTTTCCCCAAAGAATCTAGGAGAAATACTGCAAATTAAAAAAAGGAAAAGAAAGAAGGTTTTCATCTTAATTTAATGCTATTTTTATTTTACAGAAAACATTATGGTCATCAAACAAAACATATATTTTTATCAGGTGAAATTATTGAAGTTTTATTATTTTTTATTATCTCCAGTAGTTTCTTTTTGATTTCTAAACACCATGAATTTAGTTTTTTATACTAAGTGATAATTTGTTGATATCAAACCAAGTTTTGAGATTTTCTGATTCCATTTCAATAATAGATAATAGCCCTTTTAAACTGTTTCCAGAACAATACAAAATAATGTCATCTGCAAAAATAATACATTTTAATAAATTAGTAACATTGCAAATATCATTAATATTAAGTAAAAATAATTTTGGTCCAATCACAGACCAATGGGATACCCCACATAAAAGCTTTCTAAATTGTGACACTGTCTTATTATTTCCACACACTGTAGTCTGTTTTCCAAATAACTTTTAAGCCAATGAAATTTACTCAATGTCCACGTTTTTGGTTAGTGGGAGAAAGTTGGAGTACCTGGAGAAAATTCACCTTTGCATGGAGAAAACATGTAAAAAAAGAAAAAAAAGAAAAAATATATCTATATCACCCTGTTTGTCTATTTGGGTGGTTCCACTTCACTTCAAACTCAGGTACTTTACCAGAGGCCTTGGAGTCTGAGGGTTCTGTTCAGGATCTTAACTGTTCTCTGGACTGAGCTCTTCTGGACAGAGATCTCTGAGGTTGTACAGGGATTAAATTAATTTCTACTCCTGTATACTTGTAGAAAAGCAAAATGTTATTTTTATACATAGATATTTCATCTCCAAAATGAGGTACAACAAGATGAATTAATCTGAATCTAAGTATCCAAATTGCAATATTTTTATGTGACTATATAAAACTGTCTTAGTCTGATTGGAATTTTAGTGAAAAAGGTAAGTAATGGTGTACCATGGAAAACCCACAAACTCTTAAGGCCCTGTCACACTAGATAACTTATGCCAACTTATGAAACATTTTTATGTCTAAATTGCTAATAAAAGTAATATATTTGATCAATTAGTTTGAATTACATTATGCACACTCTGAAAAAAGAAGCTTCCTGTTGATTTTTTCAATTCCATCTTCAATGTTGATGTCTTTAAAATGTTCATAAGTTGGCATCAGTTGTCTAGTGTGACAGGGCCTTTAAGCAGTGTTACATCATGCAATGGAAACAAGCCATTAAACAGCCATGAAATATGAACCATGTGAGAGGAAGACTGGAGAGTTCTATTTTTGCTGTATGTCCGCTGTAAACAGCAAGCTGATCCATTTTGGACTTCACAAATCAAATTTCATAGGAAACAAAACAGATCAGAATACATTACTTTGTCAATTTAGGAGGAATTCAAATAACTAGAACATTTATGACAAATGGCAGTCTTTAACATGACCCAACACAAGTTTCTCAGCAGATTAACCTGTTTGTGTTTCTTTACAGTCAGTATTAAACTAAA